TACGACGTGGACATTTTCATCTCGACATTTTTAGCAACGACGCGAAGCACATTATCGTGTAGAAAAGATAGAAGAAAAAGAGAAAGAGAGATATATAGAGAGAAGAAGGATTGGTAAAAGTAAGCTCGTACAGGTCGCTTCAAAGGGCTGCTGGGATGAAAATCTCGCCACTTGGAAACAGTGTTCCTCTCCTACGTCCAATTTTCCTCTCCCCCACGCTCTCTCTCTCTCTCTCTCTCTCTCTCTCTGTCTCTCTCTCACTCACTCACTCACTCACTCACTCGATCTTCCTTCTGTCTCTTTCATTTTCCCTTCCCTATCCTTCTCCCCCCCTTCTACTCCCCTCTCTCTCTCTCTCTCAGTCTTTCTCTCTCTCTTTCACCCTTAAAGCCGAGAGTACACGCGTAGTGTATATCCGCGTGTATATGCGGTGTGTGCACGGGACTCTAAAAAAGGCGGCAGGGCCATTCGATGGCAGCTGTTCCACATTTGAAGGATGGATATTCTTCGGGCTTTGTCGTCACGACAAAAGACCCTCCTCTCACAAAAGACCGACCCGGGCCGAGCTTTCCGCGTGAGTCTTTCTCTGTCTTTCTCTATCTCTCTCTTATTTCAAGAGAGAGAGTGAGTGAGCGAGTGAGTAAGTAAAAGAGAGAGTAGCATAAGCATTCAGAAGCCCAAGTTCCATATGTGCCCTTGCCACCACGATGCTGTATTACTCTCTCTCTCTCTCTCTCTCGCTTTTGCAATGCGATTCGTATATGCATTCGCACATGTCCACTACTGTGCGAACATGTCCAACAACCTCTTTCCATCTTTCTCTTTCTCTCTCTCTCTCTTTCTTTCTTTCTTCCTTTCTTTCTTTTTTTCTAACGGTGCTTAGTCAGTTTCGAAGGATGCTCGGTAGAGTCTCACCGTACGTTGGCTCAAAATTGGTCCAGAAACGCATTCCTTCCTGTCGGTTAAACGAGTTTCTTTTTTTGCTTCTTGTTACAAGCTCGCAGAGAACCAAGAAAGAAAGAAATAAAGGGAAATGGAGAGAGAGGGAAAGCAAGAGAGGTTCGGGTCGGATGGACGACGACGACGAATCGTCTAGTTGGATTAACTAATAGGTTTGTTCAGCTCTTTCTTTCTCTCTCTCTCTCTCTCTTGTTGTACTCTCGACCCCGTTTGACCCTGACGTTGTCGATGTTACGACGAGCCTTACGCTTAACATTTACAAATCGAGGAGCGTTATATTATTCTGCCTGCCACTGGCTATTTGCTCTTCCTCCCTTCCTCTCTCTCTCTCTCTCTCTCTCTCTCTTTCTCTTTCTCTGTCTGCTGTATATTGGGCGAGGGACGTGCGAGCGGTTAACAGGCTAGTGTTACGTTCGTGCTGATTGTGCGCTTCTTTCGTGACTCAACTTAAATGATTAGCGGACATAAGCGGGAGCATGACTTTGACGAAGAAAAAAAATTTCGTACCAAAAAAAAAGGACTGAAATGGACTGGTCGAGTGAAGTGAAGTGAAGTGAAGCGAAGTGAAGCGAAGTAAAGTGTACATTGGCCTTGAAACAGAGGTCGTACGCAAAACGACAAGTACGTCGCGTTGTAATTAACGCGTTAATTAGGTCTAATTCTTAAAAGGAACTTGCCTGTCTTTTAATTTTTTTCTTTTTTCCTTCTCTCTCTCTCTCTCTCTCTCTCTCTCTCTCTCTCTCTCTCTCTCTCTCTTTCTTTCTTTCTTTACGTCCTAACTAGTCGACGCTACGCGTTTCTTTTTACGTATAATGACGTACTTGTATAGGGTTCTAAGGGAAATTGATTTTGAAAAATCCCCCCGTATTGAGTAAATTACTAGTCGATTTAGGTAAAAATATATTGCAAGGCTCTTCTTCGATAGGGAGGAGGATCCCTCTCTCTTTCTTTCTCTTTCTTCTCTTTAATTCATCGTAACGAAGCCGAAGCACGATGTTGGTTGCCTCCAGTAAATTGGAAGCGTGTAGTACGGTCGATTCGCGTGACGTCGACCAGCAGAGACCCGTTTTCGATCATAATTGGTAGTTTACGAAGACGATTGATGGGGATATGCGTGCGATACAGAATCAGTAGTGTATCGTGTTATCCAAAACGACCGATATTCTCGAACCACTGCCTCCTCTCTATAAATTCCTAAGTATATTCCAACAAATTCGATGTGTATGTATATATATATATATATATATATATATATATATATGTATATATACATATATATATATGTATATATATATAAATATATCCTCCCCTCGGCTATATTTTTTCGAAGATGAATCACACGGGAGGGATACGTGCTATTACATGTATGTGCATATATATATATATACCCAACACACGTACATACGTCGTATATAATAACGTGACTATCGAACGTAAAAATTTTATCTTTCTCTTTTTTCCTTCCTTCCTTCCTTCCTTTCTTTCTTTCTTTCTTTCTTTCTTTTCTTTTTTCTAGTCAGAAAAATATGACATAGAATAAACAGGGAGAAAAATGTTGGCGCTTTTAGTCAGAGCTTTTATGCATCGTATTCTCGTTGCATTAGTTTCGTCGTCCGTCTCCTCGTATCCCTTGGTTATATACATATACATATTTTAATTTTCTAATTCAATAAAATCTCGCTTCCTCCGATCCTCCCCCGAGAGTCGCGATTCTCTTCGTGTGCGTTCGTATTCGTTCGGTAATAATCGCCGACGCCGTCGCTCGGTCATCCCTTCTCCCCTCACCTCTCTCGTAAACCCATTCTATCATTCTTTGCGTCGACTCGGTACAATTCGGCTCGGTTCGGCCAATCTCGGGTACACGGTCTCGGTCTCGTCGAGCACGAACCAACGAGTCGCTTTTCGATTCAGTTCTCGTTCGTCCGCACGCCTATTCGCATCAAGTCGTGTATCGGGAGAGTACTATTTCTCTCTCTCTTTCTCTCTCTCTATTCTTCCAAGTGAGAGGCGTTTGTGGTCTGCTCTAAAGTAAGATAAACCGATATAAGTGCGCAACGAGATAAGCCGACTAGGGGCTCACTGACTGACTGACTGACTGACTGACTGACTGACTGATTAATTGAACGAATTTGAAGAACGAGCAACAATCGTCGACCGCAGCAGCCAACGGGAAAAGAATCATCTTCCGAATTTTGCAGTTTTTTTTATATTTAATTAGGAAGAAGAAGAGCGAAAAAGGTAACCTCAGGTACGCTCGAATCTTTTTAAGTTTAATCTTTAGAAATCTCGTCGACATATACACATATATATATATATACACACATATACATGTATATATTTTTAGAAAATTGTAAGTCTTTGGACCTTGGCGCATTTTAATAAATCTTTTAACTACAACAGTTCTATCTCTGGGTACAGCTTAGAGCAACTAGCGGTACACAGTGGACATAACCTTAAATTGCGAATTAATAATTTTTCCTTCTATTATTTTCTTTCCTTTTTTTTTTTTTTTCGTATCATGTACTTTGCGATATGATCATCAATAATATCGATAATTAGTAATAATTGATCTATAAACATCGACGATTGAATATAATTCGATTCTCTACAAGACATTTTAACAGTTTAGCGGCTGATGTCCTTCGAACTAAATGAACACAATCTCTCTTATCTCTGACGTTCTTCCATTTTCTCTAAACGATTATCTTTCGTTTTCGTTCGACCATTCTCGACACGATCGGCGGCATTCAAAATTCTCGCCAGACGAATTATTATCATCACGAACGATACCGGAGATGTATCGAACGAGACAGAGAGAGAGAGAAAGAGAAAGAGAGACCGTCGTCTCTCGACATTGAATAAACTCGCAGTATCCTGCTTGATTAACGACCTTTTTTTCTCCTTTTCTCTCTCTCTCTCTCTCTCTCTCTCTCTCTCACACTATCTATCTATCTATCTATCTCTCTCTTTCTCTATCTCTATCTCTTTATCTCTGGTTAACCAAGTTTGTTGTGACCACAACGTAACGATCGTTTTGGTCCACATCTCTCTTTTCCTCTCTTTCTCTCTCTCTCTCTCTCTCTCTCTCTCTCTCTCTCTCTCTCTCTCTCTCTCTCTCTCTCTCTCTCTTTCTGCTTAATCACATCCCGTGTAACGACAAAAATAACAAATATTTGATTATAATTATTATTATTATTATTATTATTACTATTATTATCACTATAAATTTGTATTACTATTATGATTATAATTATTATTATTTACTATTAATATTTTTATGTTTATTATTATTATTATTATTTTCCTATTTCGTTATATATTAATGTTACAATTGGGGTTAATGAATTATTATTATCATGTGAATGTATATGTATGTACGTATTGTCAAAAAGTTAGAAGATCGTAAAATTCCATGCAAAAGAACCAACAGCGAATTCTCTTCGTCAAGTGACTACACGAAGGAGATGAGAGGAGAGGAGAGGAGAGGAAAGAAGTGATGCGAGAGAGCAATCTTGAGAAGCGCGTGGAAAAGGAAGAGAGAGAGAGAGAGAGAGAGAGAGAGAAAGAGAGAGAGAGAGAAAGATAGAACGATAGCACTCTGTGGTTCCCATGAAGCGTTCTCCACGTGGTGCTAAACGTCCTCCTCCTCCTCCTTCCTCTATCTATCTATCTATCTCTTTTACTCCGTCTGTCCGTCCTCCCATCCGTTCGTCCATGTGTTACAACGATGATACAAGCCGCGATGACCTAACCAGACTGTCAATTAAAATGCCACCATATGCCATACTTAAATTGTTACTAAACTTTCAACCATCCTCGTAGTTTTCTATTTCCTTCTTTTTATTTTTTCTTTTTTTTTTTTTTTCTTTTCCTTAAATGCGAAAGAACTTAATAATTAAATAAGAAGTACGTTTAAGAGGTACGTAAGTAATGATACGACTTTTTTTTTTCTCAAAAGGAAAGATAATACGAGATAGATAAAGATTTTTGTCATATCGTTGACTCATTCTGACATACAATATTTATTTATATATATATAT